TGTGTGGGACACGTGATATAAGTGCAGATGTAGCGGCTGGGATGTTCGTCTAGAATGGGGCACATCTCTTGAGTTCTCTTTGAGGGACAGGTTTAGAGAAATGGGCTCAAGAACTAAAAGTCCATTTGTCATGAAGAAGACGTTCCCCAGTAAGCCAGCCTCAGTGCAGAGCTCCAGCCTAAATGTCCTGCATCATGTTCACAATCAGCACTCATCCCCCTGGTCGGTCATTGCCTCCAGCTTTGGACACACTGCCTGTAATGTTTTGTATAGGGTGCTAGAGAGATGGCTTAGCAGTTAAGAGCACTGGCTGCTCTTCCAGAGGTCCTGAGTTCAATTCCCAGCATGGTGGCTACATCTATCACTGTAGTCCCATGGGATCCGATCTCCTCTTCTAGTGTGTGTATGTACACGCCAACAAAACATCCATAAACATGAAGTACATAAATAAATAATTCTTTTAAAAATAGTTCACATAACCAGGAGGTTGTGGTGCACTTGGGAGGCAGAGGCAGGTGGATCTCAGTGAGGTCCAGGCCAGCCTGGTCTACAAAATGAGTTCTAGGACATCCAGGACTGTTACACAGAGAAACCCTGTCTCCAAAAAACAAACAAACAAAATAGTTCATATGAACCACTTCAAATGAAACTCATGCTAGTTGAGTTGTCCATGCACCAGACTCCATAGTGAGTTCTTTACATGTGTTTTATTCTCTGGTCCTTATATCAACCCAAACGAGATAGGAACAATTTAAAATTGAAGGACCTGAGGTTAACAGAGGGACAGAAATCTAGTCAAGGTCACAGAGCAAGGGAGCTTGAAGTCAGATCTGTCCATTCCACAACTGGTCTTTGTAATCACAACATGGTGGTTCTCAATGGCCACATTGGGAGGGACATCTTCCTCGGACACATATAAGGAAGCTCTCGGCTGGCCAGGAGAGGTGGCTTAGCAGCTAAGGAGTGCTTACTGCTCGGGCAGATGACCCTGGTTTGTCCCCAGCGCTCATGTGGTGGCTCACGACCATCTAAATTTCCAGTTCCAGGGGGATCTGATGCCTTCCTCTGGCCTCTATGGGTGCCATGCATTAAGCAAAACACTAATACACATAGGACAAAACTAAAAAATTTTTCTTAAAGAACGTCTGGTTCCTGTTTTGAGAGCTGGTTGTCAGATATTAACACCCTCTTCTGTTAGAGCCTACACCCAGCCACCCATTTTATTTTGTTCTTTTTTGCAAGATCTGCTGCAGCCTCCCTCCCACCCCTGTGATTTCAGACGTCTTTGTTTTTGCTTCTGCCATAGATGTGAAAAGCTGGCTTGTGATGTTTGGATTTCAGCTCAGCAACATCATTCCTGGATTCCCAAGAGCCAAAATGTATTTTGTGCCTCCCCCCTACGAATTGTCAGAAAGTCAAGCAAGTGAGAATGGACAGGTGAGTACCAAGGTCAGGGGATGGCTCTTGACAAGAACCCAAATAACAGTCTTCATTCCCTTTCATACACAGAGCCACACGGGAGCTGGGGGCCTGTTGGGAAAGGAACACTGAGGCTGGGTATAAAAGCTACACCGGAGCAGAGACTTCCCAGGTGAAGAGAATGCCACTGCCACCTTTTCTAGGGTGGCCCATATTTCTCCCTAGCCTCAATGATTACCTTAATTGTGGTATCATTATCTATTCAGTGTCTACCCTCCGGTCGCTCCTTGATTAACAATAGCCCAGAGAAATCCAGTGGCACCCTGCCATCTGCACTGCTGTAAGATCATAACCCTTTCAGCTTTTATGGGATGTAATAAAACTGTGGTTTGCAGTTTCTGTCCCATTAAAGAACATTTTTATGCCCTACATAAAACCTCAGCACGTTACGGCCCAAATGCATACAGATTGAGTTTTCAGAACATAATTTGTGCCTGGGTCTTTCTTTGATGACCGAAGGGTGGTCAGTTTCAATTTGGGTGCAGCTGAGACCTCGGCCACAAGCAGATGGGCAGTGTGGGAACTGCATTGAGCTGACCCCCTGATACAGGACTGGGGCTCTGCTCTGTGGAAGTCTAGAAGGTCTCGGCTGCTCTGAATAGTCATCCAGATTGTGTGACTATAGAGAGGCAAGGAGGAGCTGCTGGGTAATTGAGAACGTCATTCTCTCCATCCTGCCCCTCGGGGACCACTCAGCGGATGAATAGCCATCATTTCTCTCATTTATCTAAGTGCTGTTACCTCCCAAACACAGCCTCTTCCATTATTCCAGCCTGTCCCCCAACCACCAATTGAGACAAGTTGTCATTTGTGAGTGGAGAACTCAAGGCCAAGGAGATAATGGTGATTTCACTCCTCTGCAGAACCAGGGCCGAGATCCAAAGCAATGGATTCAAAGTGGGGAGGAGGGGGTTATTCCCTCTGGCCCTCACAGCCTGGATCTCTTAGCCTCGAGCTCTCAAATATGAATATGCACACAAATCACCTAGAGTACCTGGCTAGAACGCAGCCTCAGCTTGGTGGCCTGAGAACTGCTTTACTAACAGGGCAGCCGGTCCCAGATATCCATCTGTGGCTGCTCTCACTTTGAGTAAAGGCAGTCACTACGCAAGCCACCTGTTTTGGAGCAGGGCAGGTTATAGCAACAGGGCTGCCCCCTGCTCGGACACCGGATCCCCACATCAGGACATCCCTGTGTCTGAAGTGTGCCACGCAGCTGCTGCACCACAAGTGCAAAATAGCCCTTGGTGCCCACAGTTGGGGTGCACAGCCTGGGTACAGACTTGGGCTAGGTGGAGAACCTGCTTTCACACATTTCAGTGAGTGGCGTGGTGACAAGATAGGCAGAGCACCCCATTAGGGGACTGGGAACCAGCCAGTCTACCCTGGTTACAAAAAGGCAGGGATGTATCAATACGTGTTCGCACAGACATCAGTCCTGGCAGAGAAGTGTTCAGCATCCATCTGGTGGGTTTTGCTACACACACTGCCCAGGCTACCTTCTGACCTCTCCCTTTTGACTTGTGCCCACAGCTCATTACGGGTGTCCAGCAGACCACGGAGAGGCATAATCAGGCCTTCCTGGCTCTGGAAGGACAGGTCATCTCTAAAAAGCTCCATGCCAGCATCCGAGAGAAAGCAGGTCACTGGTTTGCTACCACGACGCCCATTATCGGCAAAGGCATCATGTTTGCCATCAAAGAAGGGCGGGTGACCACAGGTGTGTCCAGCATCGCCAGTGAGGACAGCCGCAAGGTGGCATCTGTGTTGAACAACGCCTACTACCTGGACAAGATGCACTACAGCATCGAGGGCAAGGACACGCACTACTTTGTGAAGATCGGGGCAGCCGATGGTGACCTGGTCACTCTGGGCACCACCATTGGGCGCAAGGTGCTGGAGAGTGGGGTGAATGTGACCGTGTCACAGCCCACGCTCCTGGTGAATGGCAGGACTCGAAGGTTCACCAACATTGAGTTCCAGTACTCCACACTGCTGCTCAGCATCCGATACGGCCTCACCCCTGACACACTGGACGAAGAGAAGGCCCGAGTCCTGGACCAAGCGAGGCAGAGGGCCCTGGGCACTGCCTGGGCCAAGGAGCAGCAGAAAGCCAGGGACGGGAGAGAGGGCAGCCGCCTGTGGACGGAGGGCGAGAAGCAGCAACTCCTAAGCACGGGACGGGTGCAAGGTTATGAGGGCTATTACGTGCTTCCAGTGGAACAGTACCCAGAGCTGGCAGACAGTAGCAGCAACATCCAGTTCTTAAGACAGAATGAGATGGGAAAGAGGTAACAAAATAATCTGCTGCCACCTCTTTTCTGGGTGGCTCAGCAGGAGCAACTGTGACCTCCTCTCCTAAGGAGACGAAGACCTAACAGGGGCACTGAGGCCAGGCTGCTTTAGGATCCCAAGTGGCAAGAAAGCTCACATTTTTTGAGTTCAAATGCTACTGTCCAAGAGCAAAGTCCCTCATCCTGAAGTAGACTAGAGCTCGGCCACAAATTCTGAGGAAAACAAAACAAAAAGGATGAATGAATGAACGGACACACAAAATGTTTCAAGTTCCCCTAAAATATGACCCACTTGTTCCGGGTCTAACGCAGAAAAGAGACGCAGAACAGCCAAAAGGAAAGAAACAGAAAACAAACACAAACAAACAAACAAAACTAGAAAAAGAGCAAACAAAAAAGACAAACACACCGACCGTACAAACGAAGAGATGAAGACGAAAAGGCCTCATATCCTAATACCTCACTCATTCACACGTGAGCAACACGGGAACATTCGCAAGGGCCGGCGTCACCAGACCAGCTGAGGGCGACTCAGACTGATGGTTGGAGAAACACCTCCGACGTTTTCGTTTAAGCAAATACAGGTGCATTTAAAAACACGACTTTGGGGGTGATTTGTGTGTAGCGCCTGGGGAGGGGGGGGCACAAGAGTGAAGAACAAGCACTGGAAAAGCTTCTAAAGAAAAAGAAAAAGGAAAGGAATTGCTATCGGCAGTCAAAAGTGAAACAATACCGTCCGGCACTTAACCCTCAGGTCTCCACTTAGTCAGGCCTGAGCCCATTTATTTGAGCGCAGAGTGTAAAATTTAATTCAAAATGGTGGCTATACTCACTACACATAAGTCTCATACTCTTTTTGTCTTTGGAGATTCCATTGTGGACAGTAATACGCAGTTACAGGGTGTAGTCTGTTTAGATTCCGTAGTTTGTGGGTATCAGTTGCGGTAGAGGTGCGACATTTGTGACTCTGTTGCTAACGGTACCACTTCCGATCGCCCTGTACATACATATGCCACACGGCACAATCACTGTTTCAGACTTAAAATTATTAGTGTGTTTGTTTGGTCCAGAAACTGAGACAATCACATGACAGTCACCACGAGGAGAGAAAATAAAAAACAAATAAAAACAAAAAAATTTTAAAAAGTTAAAAAAAACAAAAAAAAAGTCTAATAAGAACTTTGGTACAGGAACTTTTTTGTAATATACATGTATGAATTGTTCATCGAGTTTTTATATTAATTTTAATTTGCTGCTAAGCAAAGACTAGGGACAGGCAAAGATAATTTATGGCAAAGTGTTTAAATTGTTTATACATAAATAAAGTCTCTAAAACTCCTGTGGACACTGGTCTTCTGTGGAAATGCTTTACACTGCGGTAGAGGCTGGAGGAACCGGAGCAGCTGCGATGGATGCTCGGAGCCCACGCTGGTCCAGGAGCCCTTATCCTAAAAGCTTGGAACCAGGAGAGCGAGGGCCTTGATGTTCTTTTCCTTTTTTCTTTCTTTCATTTTTTGTTGTTGTTGTTTTGGTTTTGGTTTTTTCAGATCTTAGAAAGAGATCACATATATACTAAGAGATCCAAGCATGAAGTTCATGTTCACATATATTATACACAGAGAATGGAGGTCATTGTACAGTGTTCAGTCCCTTGTTTTGTTTTGGGACAGGGTCTCTCTTTGTAGCCCAGGCTGTCCTGGAGGAACTCACTATGAAGATCAAGCTCAGACTAGCAGAGATCTGCATGCCTTTTCTCCCAAGTGCTGGGATTAAAGGACTGTGCTACCACACCTGATGACACAGTGCTTTTTAATAATTTGGTGCCTATAAACAGAGTTTCACGGTTTGGAGTTTTCTAGTTATGGCCTTGTATCTGTGTTCAAAAACTTCAGATTTGTGATGTTTGGATTAGGGATGATCGTGGACCACACGGAAAAGCCTTTTCTTCTATTGTGGCCTGGGGTTTTGTTTGGGAGGAAGGACTCCTTTTGTTTGTGCTATGTTTTGTTTTATGGTGAGGAATAGAGGAAGGAGCCAGAGTTCCACATAGTCCAAGCTCACCTCAAACTTGCTATGTAGTCAAAGTTGACTTTGAACATCTAATCCCTCTGCCTCCACCACACAAGTGCTGGGATGACAGATGTGTGCCCCCACACTCACTCTGGAGCATCTTAGTGTGCACCCCCAAATTCTCTGGTGACTCTGAGACTTCTCTACTTGTATCTGCAGACCCCTCCAGCAGACAGGAGAAGTTGGCCTTGATGTGTGGGGCTGTGAAGACCCTCGGATCTGGGTGTGTATGGATAGATGCCTCAAGCCCTTCTGGGATACTTGGACCCCTCTCTGTCACCACTTTGTGTTTGTTTGTTTGTTTGTTTGTTTGTTTTGAGACAGCATTTTCTGTGTAACAGCTCTGGCTGTCCTGAAATTCACTTTGTAGAAGAGGCTGGCCTCAAACTCACAGCGATCTGCCCACCTTTGTCTCCCAAGTGCTGGGATTACAGGTGTGTACTGCCCACTCCCAGCATCTGTCACCACTTTCTAGTTACGAAAGTCAATAGCAGAAAATCCGGGTGACCACAATCACCCCCTTTGCACACTGTATGTTCACACATTGTTCTTCCCAGCTGGATCAACTTGCCCTCAAACTTAAACACGTTGGGCAACTCAAGTGACAAGAGCCCTTTTGGCTTTTAATTTGTTTTCATTTTACACCACTTCTCCAACTAAAATAGCGTCAACAGCAGATATGAACCTGTGCTTCCTGAGTTGCTGCTCTCAGCCCTGAGGGCTCTGCAATGCAGTATTCCCATGGAACCCTCACCTTTCATTCAACAAACCGCATCTTCCTGAGAACTCATCACAGAGCCCAGGCTCAGGGCCGGGGTGCAGAAGAAAAGAAGACACAAACAGGAGCTCACGCCACCCCGTAAAACTTCCAGTCAGATGAAAGGGGAGACAGGAGGCCAAGAATGGCTCTAGCAATAAAAATGGCAGGGGTGTGTCAGTGCCAAGAAGGAAGTTGGTGAAGCAGCAGCAGGAGCTGAAAGGCCAGCAGGAGTTAGCCAGGTGAAGAGAGGGACCCCATTCCCGAGGCAGAGACCAGAGACCACAGAGGAACTGTATGGTAGAGAGAGCGAGGATGGGTCGGGTGACTGGTGAGGCAGGAACACAGAAAAGCTGGTTGGGTTCAGAATGTACGCACATTGAAGCCTGGCTTCTTTTGAACATCTGTAGCAGCAGGAAGACATCCGTTTCGGTGTCAGGAGCAAATACTGTAGATAAGGTGTGCAGAATCGGTAGAGGCAGCTGGTACAGTCTCACAAGCGAGACGAGAGCATGGCTGAGGGGACCGTCAACCTAAGGCAGAGGTAACACACCACTTCAGAGGAGAATACGGAGGTCAGCTGAGCAGGGGGGACTCCAGACTGCTCTCCCATGCAGGTGGGGAATGCCAATGGACAGTGCCCATCAGGTACGCAGAGAAATCGGACTTCAAACTCCTGTGTCCATAACTTCTCCTGGAAATGTGGCTACTGGGCCTGTCTCCTGTGACCCTCCTGAGATCTGCTGCCTTCCTGGTCATCCAGGCCGTTTTTTTAAGCGGCCTCCACAAGCAGAAAGAAAGGAAGGCAGGGTTAACCTGACTTAAACCAGGCCTCAGGAACCACCAGCAGAACAAGCTGTGATTAATAAGGCAAGCCCGAAAAGGGACACTGCCCTGGGAGCCCCCCTCTCGGAAGCAGTGTAAGCAGCCTGATCCCACAGATGGACTGGGGCAAGGCTGCCATCCTCAGGAGGCAGGTCGAGATGGCTCTTTCTGTGGGTCTTGGAAGCTGCAGACGTGATCACAGAGCAGCCTCGGGTGCTGGTGGTGGAGCCTGCAGGGGGTGAGATGTACCTGGGAAAGCGATTCAGGGGGTTGGTCCCAGGCCAAGGCTTCTATGCACCAACAGCTTCTTGAGTGCTTCACGTGACAGAAGAATTTCACAAGCAGGCAAACATCTCTCTGGGGTCCATAATCTTTGAAATGTCCCTACGTTTCCTGTTATGTCCCAGCCGGTCCAACCCCACACTGCACACCACAGAGATACAGCTATAGGAGAAGGAAAATCATTTTTAAAAAAATCCTCTGCCTCTCCTCAAGGTAGGACAGTGACGGATGCAGAGCTCTGGAAAGGCTGGACAGTTCACTGGTCTTTTAAGCCTGGGAACCAGTTCTGACTCAGCTACCCGCTGAATGTGGGAACGGGGCTGGAGATGTGGCTCAGTGCTACAGCATTTGCCTAACCCATGCAAAGGCCCAGGCTCCATCCCCAGCACTGCAAAAAGAAGCCAAAACCTTGGAAGGTGGCCAGGATTAGTAGTAGTGCACACCTTTAACCCCAGCATTGCAGAAGCAGAGACAGGCATGTATCTCTTTGAGGTCTAGCCCAGCCTGGTCTATATAGCAAGTTCCAGGCCATTCGGGGCTGCATAGTGAGACTGTGTGGTTTAAAGAAAAAAAGAAGTGTGAGGGAGAGCTGGAGCGATGGCTCAGTGGTTAAAGAACACTGACTGCTCTTCCAGAGAACCCAGGTTCAATTCCTAGCATCTACATGAAAACTCATGAGCTGTAATTCTAGTTCCAGGAGAGGGAGTGCCCTCTTCTGGCCTCTGCAGGGACTACATGCATGTGCTGCACAGACATACATGCATATACACGATAAATTAAAATCGAAAACTGTGGAAACCAGAAGTTATGTGTATCAGTTAGATAAAAAATTATTAGCTGTTTAGAGGGATAAACTCAATACAAAATAACACCCCCTAAGAAAATTCATTTCACCTATACATAGTAATGCACTGTGTCTCTGGGGTGAACCCGGTGATGATTAAATGAGAGATGGTAAGTGTTTGGTTTGGGGCTTTGTTGTTGTTGTTGTTGTTGTTGTTTTATTTGGGGATTTTTGCTTTTTGTTTGCTTGTTTGTTTGTTTGTTATCTTGTTTAAACCTTTGTCCCAAGCACAGGTTTTTAAAAGAGTGTCATGGTGGGGGATTCTCATCACACAGCTAGGCAGGATTAAGGGATTGGGTCTTCACACACACACACACACACACACACACACACACACACACACACACACTGTTGTCACTTTGTCAAAAGTCTTCCCCACCCACCCTCCCAGGTCCAGGGAGCTCCAGCAAGTGCTTTCAGAATCTGACCCTCGTTCACAGCCTTAAACGGACGGCTGTCAGAAAGAGTGAGATACTGAAGGTCAAGGGTCTCAGCAGCATGAAGTCTGGCTGTCTGAGTGGGAAACCTCCATTCGGGCATTTATCCACTTACCGACCTTCCGGGCCACCAGGCACAGTTCGTCCCTGGCAACGCAAAGACGAATAAAACCTGCTCAGAAACCTCTCCATCAAGTGTGAGGCTCACAAAGCAGTCGCAGGACACAGTGAAGGCATAGCCGGTGGAGAAGTTAAGCTAGGGCAGGAAGCAGAGAGAAGACCCTGTTGTCTCCATGAGCATCCGAGCTGGACACCAGCGGGCGGGCCAGAAGGCCAGGGAATGAGCTAGTGCTAAACCGAGCCAGATAGAGACCATCAATCAGCAAGTAGACCGCCAGAAGGTGAGAAGGCTGCAGTGAGCTTGCCTGAGACATCACCTGGGGAATGAGGGCTGTGTAGCTCAGGGATGGAGGCTTGCCTGGCAAGCACAAAGGCCCTGGGTTTCACCCCAGCACCGAGGAACGAGATGGAGGGATCGCCTGGGAGCCTTCTCGGCAGAAGCTGCAAGCCCACTCAATCAGGATCTCTCCTAAAACCTGAGCTAAATTAGGAGCCAGGTGTTGAGGGCCCTGGGTGTCTTTACTTGCTGGCAGCACGGGGAAGCAATTTAAGGCAGGAGGGGCGGGGCCTGAGATGAGCCCCTCCCCAACCTGGAAGCCGAAAGGACAGCCATGAGACTCAGGCTAGGAGTTGAGCCATCTCTGCTCACGGCTGTGAGGTTCTTGTGTGGAGTGCTTATAAATGCGCAGAAATGAGCGCGCGCGGGGGTGGGTGTTATCAGAAGAGAGCGAGAAGAGGGCAGGAAAGGCTGGAGAGGGAGGGCCTCCCGGGGTCCCCAGCCTGGTTAGGGAGGGGCGGGTCTGTAACTTCTTGGAGTTGGTGACAATGTCTGATTGAATTGAACTAAAGCAGGAATCCTGCCAAAGTCTTGCTCCAGGTCCTTCACTTCGTCCAGCCCTCGCAAAAGGATGCTACCCTGAGGGAAGGGAGTCAGAAGAGGGCAGCTGTTTACAAGGACAGTTCTGCTCGCCCCGGCTCACACCCCATGCTGAGTCCTCAGACAGCTAGGCAGCCTTGTTCCGTCCCGCCCACACTCCACTGGCACTCTATGGGGACGCCCTTCAATGGCCTCCCCCAGCCTTCCCACTGTCTACACCTAGTCTCCAAAGCCCAGCGTCCCCAAGCCTTGGTCTCCTCCCAGAAGTGTAGTACCCATTGGCCACTAGGTGGCAGCCTTTCCCAGTAAATCTTGCTAGGCTCTGCGTTTGGCGTGAGGCGGCTTTGCCTACTGGAACCTGGCTCTGGAAAGAGAACCTGGCCCTGCCAAGAGATGGTGGGTACCAAGAAGCCGGGTTGCAGAGCAGTTCAGGGAACAGACAGACCGATTCTTATTGCAGCTCCTCATGCACAGACCGGGTACATTTCCAGATGTCCTTCACACCTCTCCTCAGGACTTCACTTTTTCTCATTCCTAAAGGAAGGATAGAAACATTGTTGTAATCCCGACACTTAGAAGTACACGATCATGAGGCCGGGAGTTCAAGGCCAACCTGGGCTATGTGAGACAGTCTCAAAGAAAAACTTGTTTAAATGCCAATTGCCCCCGGGTCTCCAGCCAAGTCTGAGCACTTTCCCTGACCTCCTCTCTGTGAAGTGAGCATGAGAACGCCCCCAGCCCCCAGCTGTTATAATGAGCAGGCCGCTGACGGCTGCTTCATAGGAGTAGCCAGTACTATGACTTTTTCCACCTTCAGCAAAAAAGTCCCTGGCCCTCCACCCAACTTAGAGTGTGTGAGACGTTGTCTCCAACCTCTGTCACCTCCTCTAGCCTTCTGTTCATCTTCCACCCTGGCCTCTTCACCCTCTGAGTTCAAATCCAGGGACACAGGCTCCATCAGACCCTGTCACCAAGTGGGTTGACCTCATTTGAACATCGCACAGGTTCAAATGGAACAGGCCCAGGGAGGCCACATAAATCAAGCCCCAGAGCAGATTAGGCCCCACTGAAATGGCTGGACACGGCGCCTCCTGATGTCAGTGACTATCTCTGTCCCCAGGTTCGGTCACTCCCTCCATGAGTCCTTATCTCAACCCCCCCCCTTCACCAAAAGCATGCGGGTTTATTCTTCGGTGAGAGACGGTGGCCTGAAGAAACCTGTGTTGATGGTGACAGGAATGTTGACATAACGCCTGTTATAAAGGGCCCTGCCTTTTTTGGAGAAAGGATGAAGGAGAGGGACAGACCAGCTCCTGGCCGCAGAGGGCACCGCAGTATTAGCCAAGAGATTTGGCCTCCTCATCCGTGACTGGACCCACATTTAAAGTACACTAGGAGGGCATGGCTTAGGGGTTAAGACCACTGGCTGCTCTTCCAGAGGACCCAGGTTCAATCCCCAGCACCCACATGGCAGCTCACACCTGTCTGTAACTCCAGGTCCAGGGAATCCAGCACCCTTGAGCAGACATACATGCAGGCAAAACACCAGTGCCCATAAAATAAAAAATTAAGTAAAATAAAGCAACACTGGGAACCCACAAGCTAGACTCAGGATTGAAAGGATGTCCACAGGATGCCCATCTTGACTGCAGCACTCAGTTCTGCTTCCCTTGGGATATGGCCTTTCTCTACTCCACCCGAGAGAAAGATGGTGGCTACAGCCTGAGCCTGCATCCTTGTAGTAACCAAGGCAACAGCAGAGAACCGAGGCTCCTCCCTTTGTTTCTCAGAACTTTAACTTTGTGATTATAAATGGCGAGAAGTGGGAGGAGCCCCAGAAAGATCACTACTGCCTGCTAACGGCTGAGGGGCTGCTGACGCACCCCTTTGTCTATCCTGTCCCTAGTAGGGCCACGCACATTAGGGGTACCGAGGAAAAGAAGTTGCGTGCTGTGGAGAGGTGGGGTGTGTGTGACAAATAAACCAGTCATTTGAGAATGGAGCCCTGCCAATAGGCTACACAACAATGTAGGCGTTAAGGAAAGAGGCGGGACACCGACTGCCTTGCTGGGCACAGAGTGAGATCAGGAGGGATGGGACACCAGCTACACCCACCTGGAATAGCCCAAGAGGCGCCTGGCACAACCGCAGCGAAGTTCAACTCAGGCACCCTTAGCACACCCACGCCCTTCCTCCCTGTCCTCTGGGAAGGCACAACGTCCACGCTCAGCACCAGCCACGGGAGTTTTCCTCTGAACAGGACCGTGTCATCGTGGTGGGACAAGAAGTCCTCCATTCTTCTGCGCTGAGTCTTGCTCTCCTTCCTACTCTTGGGGGACTTGGGGGACGTGCTCTGCTGTCACTGTGAGAAACTGTCAGCGGAGGTTCCGCTCACTGGCCCATCCTGTGTTCTAGGGCAGCCTTTCTCAGTCTGGGATAGTGACACGTGGGGTCAGGTGGATTCTCATTTGTGGGGGGCTGTCGGGTGACTGGTGACTTTCACACACACACACACACACACACACACACACACACACACACACACACGGGGGGGGCAGCATCCCTGGCCTCTACCTATTACATGCCAGTAACACACACACTATACCCCTGCGTGCCTGGCTGCAGCAGCCTTTCTGACACTGCTGGATGGTATAATCATCCTCACTGGGGAACCATTGCCCCCTACACCTATTCCCATGCCCCACCTCTGCTTTCCCTCCCCTCATTCCCACAAGGTTTGGATTTCAGAAGGCGGAAGGCCAATTAACCTATGCTCCCCTGTGTTCTGGAACCTTCCCCCCAATTTCCCTCTTCTAGGCTACAACACCCAGGAGCTTTCTTTATCTATTTACGTGTGAGACAAAGTCTCACATTATACCTCAGGCTGGCCTAACTCTCACTATGTAGCCCAAGCTAGCCTTGAACAATGGCAGTTCTCCTGCCTCAGCCTTGCAAGTACTGGGATTATAAGGCTCTAGGATCTTCAGTGGCCGACTATCCCACTGAGGAAGAAAAAGCTACCGGAACTCCCTCCAGCTCCTCCTCTACCCGCAGCCAGCCTGGGAGTGGGGAGCCGTGTGGAAGGGGCAAAGCTGAGGGCTCTGCAGCCGGAGTGTCTGGACTGCCTACAGCCAGGGACAGCCCCATGCGTGTGTTGCACTGCTGGCTACCAGAGCAATAGGCATGAGGGGATGATCAGAGAAGAGGAAGCCAGGGTTTTCCATGCACCTTTGCCCAGGGGCAGAGGAAGGGTCCTTGGGGCCTGAGGTGGCAGAGCAATGTTTCATTTCTTCATCCTGTCATGTCCCATGCCAAGGATCATACAGCCCCATAGAGTCCCGTGTAATGGTGTGGGTTTTTTGGTTGGTTGTTGGTTGGTTTGGTTTTTCCAGACAGGGTTTCTCTGTGTAGCCCTAGCTGTCCTGGAACTAGCTCTATAGACCAGGCTGGCCTCAAACTCACAGAGATGTGCCTGCCTCTCTGCCTCCCGAGTGCTGGGACTAAAGGGTGATGGTATGTTAATGATGTTCCAATAATGTTCTCTGGGCAAGTCCTGAGGATGCAGCCATAGACGCAGTCATAACACTTCCAGAGAGACTGGACTGCTGTCCACCCGTCCCCAGCTGGTAAGTCTCAGGGAACTGCCTTGAGGAGATGGCAGTCTCAGGAGCTCCAATCTGCCCCATCGCTTTCCCTCCCTCACAAACCTGCTCGAGTGTGTCTTGGTCCTTACAGCCTGTGAGGTGAGGTGGGGTGACCAGCCCGATTCCAATGGTTATGAAAGAAGGACGAGCCAGGAGAAGGTCTGACCTGCTAAAGTAAACTCAGGACAGGACACAGACTTCACTGTGCAGGACAGCATGTGGGACCTGGGGCCTCCAGCAACAGCAGCATCCTTCTAGCCCCAGAGAGTTCCAGCATGCTTTGTGTGCCTGCCCGTGTGCAAGGCAGCATATGCTGAATGCCCAGTGAGCATCAGCTTGCATCTGTGTCTGCGTGTATGTGCATGCGTGACTCAGAGTATGGGCGACACGGAGAAAGCACACCTATGTGTGTTTAAGTAACACATTGCAAGCATTCAAGGCAATAAGGCAATTGGAGGGAGTTGGTAAAATGTGAATAACAAATGTGGACGGGGGGGGGGGTTCATCCCTGTTCCCAGTTTTTCCTTTTACTTTTTTTTATTTTATTTTGCCAGTTACTGCAGCAATTTTATTTTTCTTTGCCCTATGACATGATTCTAGGGCCTAATGTTCTCACTGAACCATAGAAAACCAAAACTGGTCACTTCTTCTTTTTTTTAAAGATTTATTTATTTATTACATATACACCAGATTGAATTGTAGATGGTTGTGAGCCACCATGCGGTTGCTGGGAATTGAACTCAAGACCTCTGGAAGAGCAGTCAGTGCTTTTAACCTCTGAGCCATCCCTCCAGCCCAAAACTGGTCACTTCTTAAATAATTGGATGCAAAAAAAACTTACACAAATTAAAAGTGTGAATAAGTTCACAGGTGACAATGCAAATGTTCCCAACACAAAACAAGTAACAACCCATAGGACAGGAAGGCAAACACCGGCACGGAAACTGGGTCCTAAGGCTTGGACTTTCCCTCGCT